CCCCAAAACCCCAAAACCCCAAAACCCCAAAACCCCAAAACCCCTTATAAATTTCTTAATGTTGATGGCTATAATTAATTTATTTGTAAGCAGGTAATCGGGTTTCACTTACTCTTTTAGAACATGAGGCTTGTTAAGTACGCACTTAAGCATAAGAAAGCTAAGCCAAAGAGGTTCGGAAGGAAAGTAAGCTATCTATTAAGAGAGTTACTTCTTTATTAATCTTAGCAACAAAATTACACACTTGGGTTTTCAGCAGATCACCTTCATTTTTATAGGCTTCAAAATTGGAGTTGATGTACCTAAGAGATATGCATGATAAGCTTGGTAATTATCCTGATAACCATTAAGATTATGTGTCCAATATGAAATACTCAGAGCATGCCTCTGTAAACTCGCCAATCTATCAGGAGAATTTCATGGTGTTTGCAAATCATGGTACAAAGGTGTGTTAATTCTCTAGCTCTCGTTTGTGGTGTCACCGAAGATGACTACAACCTTCATGATAGAGTCCTCACAAGCATGGAGAAGTTCAAGCCAGAATGAATAGTTTTAGGCAGGATGTGATACACTGATATGGAGCAACTGAGGCACGGGAATAGAGTTAGCTTTTATCCTCCAATCTATGAACCAATTTCTCGGGAACAGACTATGGCAACAATGGAATTGGATAAGTTTATTAGACAAGATTTGGAAACATCTCCATTTTTCTTTGATGATGTTTATGAAGAATCAAGTGTATTTTTGGCTGATCATAAGCTGAAGAGAAAGATATCTCAGACAGAGTTGTCTCTTGCCAAAATTTTCTTAGAGCATAAGAAAAGACAGTTTTTCTTCGGAGCTCCCAACAAGTTATTCGTTCTTGAGGATATCTGTCTTAACTATTCTCTGGATCAATTGAAAGAGAAGTTTTTGGATGGGATCGAGAACTATAAGTCTAGAAACAAGGAAGGGCTCTATGTCCCTCAGACTGAACCTGCAGACTACAAATTTAATTTCCGCCAGTGGGCGCTAAAAGATCATAAAATGTATTCTACTGGTAAGATAGGAAGGAACTATTTTCTACATAATTCTGAACAATTGAAGTTTCAGGGCTGTTATTATGAATGAGCTAGAAATTACTAGAAGTTTTAGTCAAAATACTCTATAATAATCTTGAAGATACTTAGTTGACCCTGATGCTGGCTAGCTTCAATACGATTGAAAAGAATCTTCTAAATTAAGTGATTTTTGAAATTCTAATTTTAAGAGTGTATGACTGGATGCTCATTTCTTTTGGCTTTGAATTGGTATTTATACAGTTTCAGAATATAAATTTCTAGTTATAATTAAAAAATTCTATCTGATTGCTCATTTGCCATTGTTAAGTCAAAAGAGATAATGCTGAGGCTTTGTATAGATTATCAAAACATTTTGATTCTTGATTTATAAAGAGCTTGGCTCTATCTTTGATATTGAGTTATATTTAATCTTTCCATATAGAGATGATGTACACTGCTGCTATGACTAGGAAGCTTTTAAAGCTTTATAAGAAAGTTGGACTAACTTGTGAGAATCATCATGCCAAGAAGATTAGAAAGTACATTGAGGATCCTAATCTCCCCGAATTCGACAAGATCTTTCACCAAGATGAGTACTTTTCAAAGCTCAAATCCGTTCTTGCTAGGTATTGTTAGCTAATTATCTTTAGAGATGAAGACTGTGAAGTCCTGATAGAAAAGCTTGCAATTCTTTCCTATCTTCATAGTGATTATTTTAGATCCTTCCTCGAGTGAGGAGTCAATCCTCTTCATCAGATGTTCTCCTCTAGATATGAATATATCCCATTAGAGGATCTACTTGTCATATTTTATGAGAAGTTAGAGCCTTACCAGAAGATCATCAAGGACTCTTTCTTCAGACAGCTGACTTCTCTGGAGACATACCCATCTTATGGGAGAGACTTGATTGAACCATACAAGGAGACTATTAGCAGGATCAATAAGAAGAGACACAAGGATTATGAGTAACTCCTTAATTTTTCTAAAGCTAAACTTTGTTTTAGATATCCTGTGGATGTACTGGAAAATCAGAAATCATTGATGTACTCCAACTGTATAATTATGAAGAAGATATATGAAATTATTTGGGAGAGGGAACAAGAAGGGATCGATCAGACCCAGACCAAGATAGATCTCTATGAGTTTTTCCAAAAGATACCGACCAGAGGGAACCTTATTGTTTTCCAACAACTTTTTGCTGAAGCTAATGCTCAACTTGGCCTTCTGAGGCTCCCTGAAGATTTCATCCGTCACAAAGAGCTTATTTATAGGTTAATTTTTATTTAAGCTAGTATAGGCAAACCTATAAGATGGTAAAGGAAAACACAGGAAAAGATGAAAGAATATTAGAGAAGGAAATGATGATTGCAGAGCAAACCAATAGTTTAAACAAGTTTTATAATCCAGAAACTATCTACAGTGAAGTTAACCTTGATGGAAGAGTCAAGCCTCTGGATGTAATTGCTAAGAAAGAAGGCAAAGAACTTAGTAAGCTTTCCTTTTAAATTACCGTTTCATCTTATAGTCTCTGAGAATGAAGATTTGGGACACGAAGAGAAAGAAAAGCTGTTCAATGAGTGGTTTGACAGGTAAGCTTACTATGTAATCCTCTAGACATTATAAGTTAGAGGAACTGAGGTCAAAACATCCAGATAAGGCAGCCCAGATTGATCAAGCTCAATCCTCCATTAAAGGAGGATACAAGAAGGATATTAAAGAGTAATTCCTTCTCAACTCATTGTTTTAACACATTGTAGACTAGAATATGTGACAAATTACAAAGGAGAGATGATTAAGAAGAATGATGCTGAAATGAACTACATGTTGTTTTCTAAAGAAGGCAACAAAATGCCTCTAAATATTAAAGGTACTATACCTCGTCTAATATGTAGAGGCAACTATCAATGGGAAGACTATTAAACTACCAGACAAACTGACTAGAAACAATCTGAAGGAGCTCGGTTTTAACGATGTTGGCGTTGTGAACATTCGAAAGGGGCAAGATGGTGATTATAAGTACTTACTCTTTTCTAATTTTAGTCTAAGAACTATTCTTTAGGGTTTTTGTATATTTATTAGTTAAACATTGTGATGACATATTTATAGAGCATTTATTGATGAAGAAAACAAAGATGAGTAAGCTAAGAGTTGAGGAATTTCTCTCGGAATAGAATTTGTTCTAAGTCACTTCTATAGGGTAAATAAGACTTTAGAAGAAGTTTTTGGGAAACAAATTCAAGTGCAAGATGAGTTGGAGGCAAGTGCTGATGTTGAAGACCCAGAGTATCCTTTATCTCCACAAGATATTTTCAAATCTATTAATTTAACTGAGGAGCAGATAAAGAACAAAGAACATGCTGATAGGATGTTGCAAGCATTCCTTAATGGAGAAGAATATGATCATGAGGAATACTATGAAATTCTTGACAGAAATCCCCGCATGAAAAGGATAGCGTAAGTCTCTACTTTGGAGTCAATTTATTTTAGAGAGCAAAACAAGAAATTGAAGAAGCAAAGAATTCTTAAAAAGTTAAAAGATGAAAAAGAGCTCTCACGACTAGGAAAGATTGTTGAAGAGAATGAAAAGAAGCACGAAAAATATCTTGAAGATACTAGAGATCATAGAACTGAGCAAAAAGTCGAAGAGACCATAGATACACTTATGAAGGTAATTTCACTCAATATCTGACAACCTATTCAATATTTAGGATGAATGGAGCAGAATTAGGATTGCACAGGTGAGCTAAGTTTGTTATCTTTAGCAAATGTCGAAAGTTACAAAGATAGATGAAGGCCAAGAAAAGATTAGCTCTTACCTCAAAGAGACTGAAGCAGAAATTAAGAAGGAATTTGATGATATACTCTAAGTATGTACACACAAATTTAGCTTCAATATTCTAAGAAACCCTCGGGGTTTTGGGGTTTTGGGGTTTTGGGGTTTTGGGG